TGTGTAAGGCAGCAGCGTCAGAAGTCCCGTGCCCGGTCGTTAAAGCTGGTGGCAGAGACCTGGTCACCTTCACTCTGCATCTGCTGTGTAAGCAGGTGCTGCTCTTGGGTGATTTCAGGAGAGCCTAGAAAAAAAACTATGTAGAGAAGGTGTAATTCTGGAGGATACTCGAAAAGTAATGGACAACTGTGAAAGCAGAAAAAATGGGGAGCTTTTGTGAAGGCTGAAGCGGGCTGTCTGAGCTTTCAAGAGATCATAGAGGAAAGAATTGCTTTGGGGCTGGGCAAAAGGATTTCAATCTGCTGGGGGGATGGCAAGAGAAAGCAGATGACAAAAGGGGTGCTTAGAGGAGGAAACAAAAGGATCTGAGGAAAAGGTAGGAAGAAGCAGGAGAGACTAAGAAATAGGAGAAAGGGAGACAAATCTTTAAGAGAGGATGAGGCTACGAAAGAGACTTCCGCATTGTGGGACAGCAAAGAGGGTGATCAAAGTGGAAAGAAGGTACAGTGGAGAAAGGGGTACATTTTTCTGCCAGAAATAGTCTGCCTATCCTGCTGATCACTGAGCAGCAGTGAGCTGCAAAAGCCGTTTTAACACCAGTTATGACGATGAAGCTTGTGACATACATGAAGTATCTGAGCTTTAGACTTGAATGCCTTCGGTGCTAGAGTTGAAAAAGTTGCTGACTTAGACTGTCTTGCAGGCCCTGATTTCCAAGTGGTACAGACAATTGTCTGTGTTCTGCAATCACAATTAGGCAACAACAGCAAGCCAGACAGCCTGCCAGGCCTTCAGAGCGGCGCTTCTGTCAATGGCTTTGGGGCTTCTCAGGACATCAGAAAAGCGATGCAGAAAACAAACCCGTTGTACTTCTGTACATTCCAGGAGCTGGAGATGTCTCAGGACAAACTCAAGTGTTGTCTTATGTCACCTGAAAATGCCTGGTTCCAGGACACCTGTTGCTTCTACACAAGCAAGCAGAAGTACCCTGGCCTGCTCGTGGGGTGCAATGCTGATACCAACGGGTGGCTGAGGCAGGACATGGTCCCTGCTTTCTCTTCTAGAATATCTTGGGGCTGGAAAGACGAGCTCTGTCACAGCTTGCATGTGTCAGTAGTTAGCAGTGTAGAGTCCATTCAGCTGTTTGTATCCTGGCACATTTTCCGCAGTTCCACCACCTACTCCTCCTCCTCCTCCTCGCTGCCTCCTTCGCTGGCCTAGAGACCAGCAGGATTGCCTAACTTTTCAGAAGGCCAGAAGGCACAGTTGGAGCACACAGCTGACTTGGGGGGAGAAGCAATTAAAACCCCGTAGAGTAATCTCATATCAAGATTGCGGCCTTGTGCTCACAGGACTGCAGGCACGCTTGCTTTGCCATTGCTGAACAAACATTTTTTTCCAAAGCACACTGATATTTGTTGTCCATGCGGGTATGCAGGTGTCAGTCCATCATTTCTGCTGCATATTTCTGCTTGTCAGTGTCCTGGGCACTGAAATATTATCAGAATTGGATTTGGGCACCAAACTTTTTCTTTGTTTTTGTGTAACTGAACAGGAGTGAATTGCCCCAGTGCTTGTGCACAAACTTTTATAATGTGCAATGGGAAATGGTCAAGGGCTGCGTGAAATAGATTCATGAAGGGGAAGTGCTTTTGCTTATGGAAATTTGGGGAGGGATCTGGGAGTCCATGTGTTGTTCAGCCTTTTGTGAAAGCTGGCAGGATCCAATATAATTTGTTTATGAGATGGAGGGGGAAGTGGCTGAATACTGTAATTTTCAATCCCTTTTAAAGTCTAAGCTTATGTATTTGTTCTCTAAATACTTTGATCTTCCACAGCACCCACTTGTCTACAGACAAAGCTGATAACAATCAGTTCAAGCTCTTTTCTAGCCTCCTTTCTTATTCTGCAATCCTGAATGAAATTCAACCTTATTCTCCATAAATAACCTTTCTCATTCCCCAGCTGTCTCCTAGAGCTAGTTCTCTTCTGACCTCTCACTTACTGACTCTGTACTGACCTTGCACTTCCCCCACAGCCCTAATCTGCCAGTGTCTACGCTCCTATTCTTCCTCTGCTCTTTTGCACTGTTTCATTTTTTTGAATAATAGGGCCTACAATTTCCTGAGCTGCACTTCAGCAAATAAGCTTGAACAAGCCCCTTTATCCACAGAGTTCGTATAGTGTAGTGACAAATGACTACCATTGGCAAGGATGTTTTCACCCCTTCTCTCTGACTCTAGGCTGTGGATAAATCTGTACTTTCTGCTGTATTGTTCTATTGGCAGTAAAAAACAGCACCAGTGTTTTCAAATTGAAGAGAAACAAACCAATTCCTGTGCTGGTGTCTTGTTCAAATAGAAATTTTTGTCTTTAGTTGGATTTTCATCAGTTAAGCTACAACTCTAGTGATTTCTCAATGGCTTTTATTAGACTACTAGGGGATCATTCAGGTATTTTGTGCTCACCTCATGCTCCTGTTCAAAGCGGTGTGAGTTCTCATCTGAAAAACTTGCAAATGGATGCTTTTTTTTGTTTGTTTGTTTGAAGTTATGCTGTAGATTGAAATAATCAGAAATAATCTGCGTAGGGTTAGTATGGAAAAACTTTTTCAAAAGGGCAAAGAGGTCATGCATGCGTTTGTCATTTTGTCAGGCTATTATTGTATAATGTTGAACAAAGCATTTCTCCACCCCCAGTATTTGTTTGTCTGTCATTTGGATAAACTGAAATATTGGTTGAATGGGAGTTTGTTTGCCTCCAAAATGGAAAGCAAAGATGTTTTTAATATTGATATTTTTTGAAATGACACCATGAAATGTAATTTCGTCTTTGTGTAGCTGTAAATCAAACCCATTTATTTTACAAAGTAGAAAGCTTAACTCTAGGTGTCAGCACTGCAAACTGAATGTGCAGCTCTGAAAATGAAGTTTTGCTGTCTCTGACTCCTCCAGTGCCACCAGAAATAAAATGCAATAGCAGTTTTGCTGACAGAACCATTAAGGCTAAGAAGAGGAGAGCCCACACTTGTGGTTAATGGCACAAGTAGGAACTGCAGCATTCTCTTCTTACACAGCATCTTTCTAGCTGCACTTAAGTGTTCTTATTGATGTGATCTAGTAAGTGATATTTAACATAAAGGAAAGAATGGGGACAAGATCCTTCTCCAAACAGTGGCCACTGTTTAAGTTTAAAGTAGGTATGTTAAGCCTTTCCCTTCATTTATTGTTAAGTGCTTCTCTTAAGTAGGCATCCAAAGTGATGTGAGCGCACAGGAAGCCAGTGTCTTTTTCTGGTTCTAACAGGCTGTATAGATCAGCTAAATTAAAGGGGTGGATGAAGTTTATGTGACTGTTGCTCATGTTTGAAACTGCACAGTAGCAGACAGATTAGGGAAGGAAAGAGATGATTTTCCAGCCTTCAATCCTAGCAAAAAAAAAATGTAAAGAAAACCATTACCCCTCATCCTATCACTATGCTGCCTGATTAAGAGTCCCTCTTTGTCTTTCCTGTAGCCCCTTTAGGAACTGGAAGGCTCCCAGGAGCCTTCTCTTCTTCAGGCTGAGCAACCCTAACTCTCTCAGCCTGTCCTCACAGCAGAGGTGCTCCAGCCCTCTGGGTATCTTCATGGTCCTTCTCTGGACTCCAATCTAAACCTCCCCTGGTGCAACTTGAAGCCGTTGCCTCTTGTCCTATTGCCTGTGACTTGGGAGAAAAGACTGACCCCCGCCTCGCTACACCCTCCTTTCAGGTAGTTATAGAGCGTGATAAGGTCTCCCCTCAGCCTCCTTTCCTGCAGGCTGAACAACCCCAGCTCCCTCAGCCTCTCCTCATCAGACTTGTGCTCCAGACCCCTCACCAGCTTTGTTGCCCTTCTCTGGACTCGCTCCAGCCCCTCAATGTCTTTCTTGCTGTGAGGGGCCCAAAACTGGACACAGCACTCGAGGTGTGGCCTCACCAGTGCCCGGTACAGGGGGGCACTCACTGCCCTGGCCCTGCTGGCCGCACCACTGAAGCGCTTTCCTCCTGCCATGTGTCACTTTCCTTTCTCAGAGGCTGGAGCTTATTGGCAAAAATGACGTCTCTGATACCGGCTCCTCCATCCGAAGTTCCGTTTGACCCTCCCTGACCGGCGGTTGGCTCCGACCGGTGACAAACAGGCCGAACCAGCGGGAGCAGCGCCTGACGCGGTGGGCGGCTGAGGGCGGCGGCGCGCGCCTGCCGTTGAGCCGGTGCCGGGC